TCGATTCATTTGCTAAGCAAATTATGAAGCGAAGGGATTGGTATGAAGCGGCCGTGATGCTGCATGGATATATGAGTACACATATGCAGCCGTACCTTCGGTAGCGGTTATTGGCAAGATGCCTACGGGAAACTCGTCCAAAATTGATTTTGAACACATTGAGAACGGAGGCTCTTTCTTCGCAGGATTTTGACCGTTTCACTCCGTTCTTTCGCCATTTCCCCACTATATAGCGCCCTACTAGCATTTTAGGCCGAGCACCAAATCATCGTGCCAACTGCCTTTAAGTCAAGTTACACCTTAACACTGATTGCCTAGCAAATCGAAATGACCCAAAAACTTGGTAATAGTGCAAGCTGCCTTCCATAAAGGTCGTCATAGCATGAAAGATTCATTAATGAGCAAATACTTACAATAATACAAATACACAAAAGGGATTCTATAAGTACAGTTTATATCGTCACTCGCGGTCGGAGCGGTGTTGGGAGACATGGAATGAGCCCAACTGCGGCGTCTCCTAGCACTGATTGGTTTCTTCCTGACTCGATCACTATTGGTTCATATTGGCCGCCGGAGGGCTCATCCCGCCCCGACTGAATGCGACAAATCAACTATGATTCTTCCAAAGCAAAGCTATATGAGGTGATTTTATGGCTAAATACGGTTATTACAGCTTTTACAAATGTTTCAGTACATGATATAATTCGGCAGAGAACAAGAAAGCGATGTTATTTACATTTGGGCGCTGTTCGGCTTTGGAGAGGCATTCGCACCTTTGCCAGTCTCGTTCATGTTATCTAATGAGCCTCACTTTGATGAAACGTGTACACTCCTGTAAACTGGTGAGTGTTACAAGTGAGTCCTGTAGCAACAGAAATTTACGGGTTTTCACAAGGTGGCCTGTTCAAGTTTCGCTGTGTACCAGGTACCAGCCGGTGCTCCCACCAAGCCAAACTGCGCCCGCATTTGTTCTACGAATGTTCACTGTACAAAAATGTAACCCAAACTTGCAATAATATCAATATGAGCAATGTTCGAATCCTACAATGGCACATGGGAAGGAGAAGACGTTCCCAAGGACTTAGTTGCGAGCACGTCTTGACCATTTGGGCGTCTGCGCTCTCTTACACGTCTTACTGTCTACCTCTCTTACGACTCTACACTGAACAAGGCTAGTCGCACGCTGAGAATCTCCAGCAAGGGGAGTCGTATTCGGTTGCTCTTAGCAAGGGGGGGGGGGTAGCCGGATTCGCCTTCGAGAAAGAATTCCCTAATTATTTGCTTTCTTGGGTATTTCCTGTTTCATGTTCGTATGTCCCCTTCCCCCACCCCCTCCGTTCTTGTCGCTAGA